GGATAGTAACAAGTAAGTGTGTTTGGCTAAGTGTCAGTTTTTGGATAACCAGGATGCCTTCGCATCATCTTTTAGTGGAAAAAATGAGACCACTCTAATGAGAACAAATGGGTTTAAAAAATTATCTTCCCCAGATCAATGCTGGCCCCGAAATCAGTATTTTATCAATCTGTCAGCATTACATGTAAATTGCTGCTGGTTCATTGTTTCATATACTGGGCAGTATTGGGACACAACATTTTTTGCATTCTAGTCATTGGTGTACAGTCTTATTTTTGTTTAACTTTCTGTGACTTATGAAAATACACTATGTATAATCATAGTTAGAAGCATATACTACTTGTTAACTTTTTTGGTATAATATTTCATTGAAGTCCATAAAATAGAGGGACCATGTGTATCCCAACTGGGACACTTAATAGTACAGGGGCACTTTAATAATTATATGTGACAGCAGGTATAAACCAGGACCATCCCAAGTGTTGAAGGTTAATTTTAAACAGTAGGTAATGGAGAGCTAATGCACAACACAGTGATTTATAAACACCATTACCATGTGATATACTTCAAAGTTGCTGAGAGATTAGACCTTAAATATTCTTACCACAAAAAATAAGTGATGATTATGTGACATGATAGAGGTGTTAGCTAATGCTACGGTGATAATCATATTGCAGTATACAAATACATCAAGCCAACATGTTGTACATCTTAAACTTACATAGCATGTCAATTGTATTTCAATTAAAAAATAAAAATTAAAAAAACAAAATACAATTAAATTTAAAAATAGGTAAAACCTTGACGCTTGTGCAAAAATAAACAGAGCATGGGTCAAAGATTTCATTCAACTTACTAATTAATAAGGGAATGGATAGGTTTTATAACAAGATTCAAGGAGAATACTAAGTACTACATCTTTACAGTCAACTAAAAGCTGCTAAAAATGAGCTAGCGATGGATGCTAAGCTGACAAACTGGTCAATATCCACCAGGACAATAATCAGTTGCATTCGAGTGGACACAATTTGCATTTCTGTGGACAAAAAATCATTTGCATCACTATCAGTGTTCTCCAGTTTGCATAGTTTAAAATAGCCCAGAGATAATCTAAGCTTCACAGGTGTATCACTCACAGATTTGGGGCCCACGACAAAGGCCTTCACAATTTTCCCATGCAGGCAAAACTGGCCTGGCTGGGCGCCCTCGTTGTGTGTCACATATTCCCACTGTTGTTTGCCTCCTATGATTTTGGACTTAACTCTTAATTGCTGCTTTGTTAGATTTTTAGTTTTCATTTTATTCTTGGACAGATTCCTGTGTCTGTTCCCTCTTAAAAAGAGGATTTTTAGTAACACAATTACAATTCTATTTTATAGCTTATCAAGCTGTACAATCTTAGGCTCCACTTCTCTTTGGTATTTGAGATTGGCCAGAACCTAAACTGTTGTTATTTGTGGGGGGGGAAATGCTACTTTTGTTCTGTTTTGGTTGCCTCCTCTGGGAGGACGGGAAGCATTTTGGCTGGATGAGCTGAGCAATCTGCAGCTGTTCAAATACTTTGAGCCTTTGGGTTGATGGTGTATTTTGCTTTAAAACCCTCCCCCCAACTTTAAAAAAAGAAAGAAAGAAAGACAGAAAATCCAACAGCCAATTGCATCTATGACTTTTTTTTTAACCGTTGTTTGGTGAGCGGCAGTTATACTTTTGTAACCAGAGGCTGTGTTTATTTTCAGCGTTGGCAGTTCTGCCTAATGAATCAACCGGTATTGAATTCACAAAGGGAGATGCCTTTCTCTCCCTCCATCTGTTTGCCAAATGTGTGTGTCCCGTCAGCTCCTGGTGGTGGTTTCACTAAAAAGAGCCATTAGCAAGTGGGTGTTCTCATTGAATTCTCAGTCCTCTGCCTGACTGCTTGGTGGTTTTTTTCCCCTCGTAGTTCCATAGTGGTTGTTTGCCAAAGCACCACACTTGTGATTCTAGAGAAAGTGTACTTCTATTTCTTGTTTAAGTATAAAGTTTGGCTCTGCATTAACTCACAGTTTTTGTCTGGTTCTTGAGCCTTGGTTTGGTCCTTCACGATGAGGTGTCTGTCTCTGAACAGCAGTGTTGCCGTGGGGATTGAAATTACTCCAAAGAGGAGACAAGAAATCAAGGGAATGCTGGTAGGCGTTCTTAAGAAGAATTTCTTTGGATAGCACTGTGTTTTCAGCAAATTCTTCTTTAATTCTTATTGACAGTAGAAAAGAAGTTGTTTTATTAGCAAAATTTGGAGATGTCCTTTTTATTTATTTTTTTAACATTTTTTTTACTGAGTTCTAGTCAGTTTACAATGTTGTGTCAAATTCCAGTGTAGAGCACAATTTTTCCATTATACATGAACATGCCTATATTCATTGTCACATTTTCTTTTTGCTGTGAGCTACCACAAGATCTTGTATATATTTCCCTGTCCTTTTTATTTTTATCTTTTTTACTTTCATTCACATATTAGGTCAGTACTTCTCAAGTGCCCATGTGATTCACCTGAGATTTTGATAAGATGAAGATTCTGATTCACTGGTAGAAGTGAGGGTCTAAGATTCTACATTGCTGTCAAGCTCTGGGCCCTGCCATGAACAGTACAAATTTCAGGGCAAACAACTGTGATGCTTTCACCGTGGTCCTTGGAGCAATTTAGATGTAGAAGTGTAGAATGATTTGGCTGGTGTTCAGTAGCAGACTATTTGGAAATATTTGCCTTTGTGTTGATGTTAAGAACCACATAGAGGGGTTAGGCAACTTTCCAACTTTTCAAGAGACAGATCTTCACATTGAACATATGTTATTTTGTTTGAGATTTTAGAATTTCCAGGACATTTTACATACCCGATTTCAAGTCTAAACTAAATATTTTTCAAAGCAAATTATGAGTTATTTAAGTGTTTTCTTACCTGTGTACATATGACTTTGATTATATCATTTTCCCAGTGACGTGTCCCACTTCTTGATATATCACATAGGTTTTAAAAAAATAATTTCTCTGAAATTTGATTGTATGAATATTTTAGTATTACTGTCTTCTGTATACTGTGCGATTTCACTTACTTATTAAACAGTTTTATGAGAACTGAGTGTCATCCAAGAAGTCCTTTGAGTACTACTAAATGTTATTACTCTATTCTGACCTAGGTAATGGACAGTAAACTATTTTTAAATAAGGCCACTGACCCATTGCAGTTAGCTGGATCTATCAATCTTTTCTCTGTGGTTTCTAATTTTTGTATCATGTGGAAAACTTTCTTTTTCAAGATTATGAAAAAAAAACTCATTTTGCTTTTTTTAAAATCTTACTTTTATATTTAAATCTCAGATCCATTTCAGAGGATTTTGTTATGAATAGTAATGATGATCTAGGTTAGTCAATTCTTAATGTTGTAAAATTAACATTTAGGAGGTTGAAATGCTTAAGTTACAGAATGCAATAAGTGTGGAAAGAATTGAGTGATATGAAGTCCTGTACAGATTATCTGTGTCATAAAACATTTAATAAAAGATTGAATTCTGTTGAAAAAAAGAAAAAACTGTTCACCACACACATGCACACACACAAACACAAACACACACACACACACACAAAGACGGAACCTGATTTAAGAAATACATGGATCTGTTTTACCGTCATCTTATTCTCCAAAACTTCTAATTGTATTAATTAGTTTTGGAATTTATAGAAAAAGAGAAAATACAAAGACTTGCTTTTAAAAATGAAGGATAAGAATCATGAGAAAAATTATCCAATATTTATTAAAAAATTACTGGATAACTGGGAGAGACCAAGAGCTGAGAGAGGAGTGTGAAGTTAAAGTGGCAAGAGAGACACATGTGTAAGGGGGATGGAGAATCCAGATACTCATGAAGAACATGTTAGGGAGGAAAAACAACTTTTTCTCCACACTCTTAGGTTCTCCTTCTGGGGGCCTGTGAATTAAACTGACAAAAGACTAATTAGCAGGAGAAAAGAGTTTATTTATGGATGCAATCTGCATACAGTGATGAGTAACTCAAAAACGTGGTTAGAATTTAAGGCTTACATACCCAACTTAGTAACAGAAGAGAATTCGGGAAAAAAGCCTCCTATGAGATAAACCAGTAGGTTTCTTTAGGAAAGATGCATATTTCTTTAGGAGAACAAACATGAGGTGAGAAAGTTTGTGATAATGTTTGTTTATGCAGTTGCGAGTAGTTTTTCTGTTTTCTTCATAGCTCTGAAACTCTCCTGGAGAAAGGGTTTATGGTAGCCTCATTTCCTAGAAGTTGCCACTTTTAGTCAGATAAAGGAAACTCTGAAGAGGCTTATGTTTGCATTTGTTGAATTTCAGATGCCTTCAGCTTAAAATAATCTTTCTACCAACAATAGGGTTCTGAGTGAGTCCCCACAAGGAAAAGGGCATATTTACACTGAATAAGGAACGACTCATGGTTAAAGAGGAGGAAGACTCAGTAGATTGTGAGGTGGAGATGTTATTCACAGTTAGAAAGTTCTTCATTTGTCTGTTCTTTGAAAATGTGATTAGGACTTCTAAAGCTTAGCAACTCTTCAGAGCACTTCTGCTCTCAGAGCATTTATTCTGAGTGTGCCTCTACATCTGCCGAACACAAGTAAAATTATTCTAGAGGCTACACTGAGCTGGCTACATCAAGCCTGGGGCCCCAAGGTCCATGACGGTCACATTTTATATCCAGGTTTTAATCTTAGTTGTAATTCTTTTTGCAGTAAAGCAGATTTTTCATCTAAATATTTTAGATGAAATATTTTCATGGTATAATTGCTCAAAAATATCTATTGTTGTTTCAAATGAAGTAATAACTGGGCATCAGGTTTCTGAGAGATCCATCAGGGAGATAATTTTGTGTGTATTCTTAAAAATTTGAATAAAAATTCTATTTGCATATTTTCCGTGTGACACTTGTTATAAAAATGTTCTTTTATTTAAATATATTACTTTTTTTTTTCCCAGTCATCAAACGCAGACAACCTGTTGGGATCATCCTAAAATGACTGAACTCTTTCAATCCCTTGGTAAGTGCTATTTTCCTTAATAGTAATGAATTAGCCTAAACAATTGAGGATTGTATAGTCTTAAAAGGACACTAATCACCAGCTTTTCGTACATGACATGTTATGTTGAAAGGATCTTGTCATGGGCACAGAAAAGCAGTTGAATTTCTAAGGGCAATGCAGCAAATGGATTTTACCTTTCTTCTTAAGAGAATGCATGGCTTGAAACAGCATGAGCCTAAGAAGGTTGATTTTAAAAGGAGGAGTGTAATTGGTTTTACCTCCCTCGTACTGAGTCATCTAAAACTTCAGCTTTGTGTGAAAACAAAAACCAAAAACAGTTACAGTACAGCAGCCTCTGATTCCCTGCTTTAAATTTGCTTTTATCTCGCTTCTTATTTAGTAAATACTATTAAATTAGTTTGCCTACTTTCATTTTGTCTAAGTAGTTATTAAAAGTTAAATTTATTTCAAGATAAAAATGTAAGAAAGTACATGAGATGCGAATCCTGACCTTGTAGATTTCTAGTAGATTATGACTTTGAACTTGAGTATTTAGCTGCTTCCCTTAGGTCGGTCCAGTGGTTTGAAAGAGTTTTCTCTGTGGGGAGCTAAGGTGCTGCTAGAGAGGGAAGGTGGCACCCTAAGGCTCTCATGCCCACTCCCATTTCAACAAGGAAGGCACACCTCTTTTTATCTCTTTAAATTATCTGGCTTCTGTGGGACTCTCATAGGGATGGGTGAGGACAGCTGCAAAGGTTGAACAAGCAAGAGAAAAGCCACCAGATTGTTTAGTCTGTAAAACAAGGGGGCAAATTTTGATTATTTCTGAGTTTTCTTCTAACTCTTCTAATCTCTAATACCAATACTCTATCCTTAGGAGACAGAGAAAGAAATTCTAGTATTTCTTTTTAACTTGATGCTAAATCTTTAAGATTTTTAAAAATTGTGATAAAATTGACATGTTACATTTGTTTCGAGTGTACAACATAGTGATTCAGTGCTTGTGTATATTGTGAAATGATCACCACCATCAGTCTGTTAACATCCATCAGAAAACATAGTTACATAATTCTTTTTCTTGTGATGAGAATTTTTAAGATCTACTCTTTTAGCAACTTTCAAATATACAACACAGTACTATTAACTGGAGTTAATCTATTGCTTCTAAAGATTTAAGTATTGATTATAGTATAATTTTAACCAGACTGATGAAAGGGCAGAAGAAGCAACTAGATCCGAAGGGAAGGAGCATAGAAATAAGACCGGCTTTATCAGTAGTGAGATGGACAGCCTAGTTGACAGAAAACTGATTGTCCTTGGGGGAAATGCCTGCAGGAGAGTCCCTCATAGCAGTAGAGAAGACAAGACCCTCAGCCTACAGTGTGATGTATTTATTAGCCCATCAAAAGTTAGCAGGCTGTGTTTCCTTCTCCTCATTTCCCTCCTTGTCCTATTTGAAAATGCCTTCTTGAAATCTGTGTCACACTGCTTTGGAAAGTATCTCACCATGGTGCTAATGAACATTTAATTGTTTTCTGAAACGCTGTGAATTTTAGGAAGAGACTTTTTCATGTGAATAGACATAATACTTTTCCATCATTAAAGTAAGCAAATATATTCTTGCCATTCAACATAAGTTAAATCATAAGCATGCTCCTGAAGGTGTTCCGTCTTCCGTTTCAGCTGACCTGAATAACGTGCGTTTCTCTGCCTACCGTACAGCCATCAAAATCCGAAGACTACAAAAAGCACTGTGTTGTGAGTTTATTCTACCAAAGTTCATCACTCTGTTGCTTGGATTGCCTTTTTTGTTTCTTTAAGACAAAGATAAATGAAGAGGCTGATGTGTCTGTAACGTTAATCTGATTTTCAGTGCACCTCACTTAAGGAATTGGCTGTGTTTCTGTAAATGCTCTATTATTCGCCTCGTCAACATGCATGCAGTAGTAAAACAAATGAACATATGCCATTCTCAGTTGGAGAACAAAGTTAGCCAAAATACAGGAGTCACATAAAAAGCTTTTTCAAAAATTATGTTGCTACCCAATTTAAAAGGATTAAATCAAGGAACTGAAGTAGTAGATCATTGCCTTTTTAGTGCTTTGTATTCATTTGGAAGGGTAGGCTTCCAAACAGTTTGGTTCAATGCCATCACATAATAAAGAAACACTAAAAAATGGCATTCCCGATCCAAATTTGAACTGGCACCTAGAAAACTGGATAAAAGGCTGTGTGTTCATCTAAATGTGTCCTGAGACATTTAATATTGTCAGTAGGAACTTTAACCTGCAGAGGGTGTGTTCAGAGTGATCATCTGTGGCAGTCGTTTTACTGAAAGGGTCATTCCCTCCTTCATAACCTAAAAGTAAGTGTAAATGTGAATGCTTCTAGTGGACGATAGATTTAAACTACCTGGATTCTGTTTGTGGTGATAGTTTTAATGACTGAATATACTCAAAGGACATTTAGACCTTGTCAGACAGTTAATATGGAAAGGGACATTTGCCTGTACTTTTCAGACAGTATTATTTGAATAATTCCAAGTATCCTTGTTCACTGCCTTTTGTTAACAGTCGCTAGATGTCTAGACATTTCAGTGAAGCCTTGCAGACTACCCTTAGAAAAATGATATATTAAAATTAAAAATCTTCTCTTTAAGGCAGTAGAAATTAGAAGTACATTTTAAGCTGGTTATATGAGGAGAGTTGAGAAAAGAGGAGAAAATACAGCAATGCAGAGCTTCAGAATAAGAAAAACTTAAGCTATGTGCGGGAGAGCTACCTAAAGGGCCGAAAAACACCTCCGGATTAGGCGATGGACGGAAGGCTGAGATGACTTGGAAGCCCCTCATCCAAGGAACCCCAGAGATTACTGGCAGGTTGCAGAGTTACCAGTCCAGCCGTGCAAAGCCAGCACACTCTGGCTAGTGATCTGTGTGTTGAGCCGAAGGGAATAGGAAGTGAACTGGGAGCACACAAAAGGGATTTCAGTGAGCTCGGGCAGTCCAGGGTGACAGCAGTTTTGAAAGAGGCTCAGCTGCATGTCCCGTATCCAGCTGACAGATCTGGAAGGTCTCCTCAGGTCCAATGAGCTATAAAATGAGGACAAATGACTCAGCCACAAAATCTCCACTGATGGAGACTGCTTTGTGTCACTATGAACATGGTTCCAGTTTTCAGTAGTGCTTCTGGGTAGATAAACATATTATCGCATTTGATGTTTTCTCCTGTGGGTTCTTTTGAGTCGTAAAGGAAAAACTCTGTCCTTCAGCTCATCCCTTCAAACCAGAGAGGAGTAGAAGAGAGACACCCCCCACTTCCAAACTAAGCAGCATTTAGTCATGCAAACTGAGACATGTGCTGGGTTGGTTCAGCTGTAAATGTTCGAGGTGATATCCTTACAGCTCATGGCCTCCACTTGTCCCACTGCCTCCCGCCCCCGCCGCTCTCCTCCGGAGGCCTTTGCGCCGCTGGTCCAGCTCACCTGTTTATGATTAATCTGCTCCTTCCTCTCCCATCCTTTCTGTTTACTTCAAATGCCCTGACCCTTCCTCTGCAATGCTCTGTAACCCTTTATTCCTCCCAAATGCTGTTAAAAATTTACTTCTTTTGGAAACATTTACAAGCTAATCCCACCTGCCTCCAGTTTTTCCAGAACTTTATGATCGCGTCTAACGGCTGTTTCTCACCTAGGCGCCCCTCGCGTGCCTTTGTGTGATAGATAACGTGAGGAGGGTCGCCCTGTCTCCGTTGACACCTGCTTTAAAGTCAACGGTTTTCTCTCACTCTGTGTAGATCTCCACCCAGCACAGTGTCCTCCTGTGCAGGGCACACTGCTCTTTCATTGTTCGTTCATTTATTGGGCTCCAAGATTGTGCAGGAGATAAAACAATATAAAGAGACTTGGTTCCCACACTCAAGGAACATGCATTCAGAGACAGCATGTTACACATGGACGTTACCCCCCACCTTCCAACAGATCCTGTGGCTCTCAGGATGGAACGGCTTTGGCCTCGGTCCATGTCTTCACCCTCCTTGTTCACTGTGCCCCACCGTGGGCTCTCCTAGTTCTCGTGGACAGTTGAAATGGCGAGCTCTGCACTGTGTGCCTCCTACCTGCAGAGCTCCTGTCCTAGCTCTTTGTGCTGGTCCTCTTCCCATGGCTGGAATGTTCTCTTCCTTTTAAGGTCCTAGTTTAACTGTCGCCCATCTCTAATGAGGCTTTCTTGGCTACTCTACTCCAAACTAGGTCACTCCTGATTTTCCATCTCAGAGATTCAGTTCTTTCCTTATGTGGCACTTGTCATAATGTTTGATATTCTATTTATTTCCTTACTGACCATCTGTCTCTCTAAGTGAACTAAGCTTTAATGGGAGAGATGAGTGTTTTCTTCCCCACTGCAGGCCTCATACAACCTCTGGCACAGAGCCGTCTCCTAGGACACAAGGGAATGATTTGAGCTGGAAAGTTGATGGAGTACACCAGAAGATCTGTATAAGATTGATGGCTGCACTTTTTAATAGTAAAATTTGTTTAATTTTGGCACGTTTATAAATATGATCTCCTGCAGCAAAAATAAACTAGTAATCAGCTCAAGATGGTTCAATCTGAGAACTATAAAGTTGCTTGAAAAAAATCAAGAAATCTATATAGTTTGTTTCCATTTATTTGCATAGTTCAAAACTGGACAGAAATGCTATATTATTTAGGTATACATATATACTTTCAGAAATTGAAAGGGAAATACAAAGGTTAGTGGTTCTCCCTGTGATTGTGAGGGGGTGTAATTAGGAGATTTTTCCAAGGGGCTTCCAACAGATCAGTAAATCTGTTTCTTTAGCTGCGCAGCAGATTAAAGGGAGCTGCTTCTATCATTTTTCCTTAGACCACACGTATGTATCATACCTATTCTTTTGTATTTTGATTAAAAAGCTCTGTGTAATAGGCAGCAACAGAGAAGCCAGAGAGAAGTACTGTCAGAGGAAGGAGAGGTTCCCTTCATCGTGAAGAACAGCGCAAGCTGCCTTGAGTTGATTCCAGGCAATCAGCCAGGCCCTAAAAGCCACACAGGATTTAGGCACGTGGCTATAATCCAGGGTAAGACGGAAGGAAGTTATAGTCATGAGACCCAAAGGCCTGGGTGGAGTTCAGGAACTATCAGGTAGTATTGGAGTCTAAATGGAGAAGCTATGAGCTGTTTTGTCCAGAATTCAGAAATGTCCTTAAAATCAGTTAAGGTCCAGTTTCAAGGTCATTTTTAGTGAAATCTCTGACTCCTTTAGTTTTCTGTTGTTGTTGTTCCTCAAGCTCTCACAGTGCTGTACTTAACATTTGGATATTTTCTTTATAGGTTGGGTTTCTGTAGATCAGTTTTCTCTTTTGTGTAGGTTAGGAGCAGGGCCAGTGGTGGACGTATGCTTTAGGCAACATCTAAGATCAAAGGACCAAGGGAACAGAAGACAAGTGAATAGTTCAGGTGAGAGATGATGGAGACTGAGTGGAGGAGGGGAGATGAGGGCATGGATTTGTAAGGAGGAGGGAGAACTGCTGACTTAGGGGGATTTGGTAGTTGATAAATTGCAGAGGGTGAAAGAAGGAGAATGTTACGATATCTCAGGATCCGTAGACTGAGATGGTCTGTGGAAGGTGGTAACACCACTGCCGGATTTCCGCATAACAAAAAGGCAAGACCTTTATTTGGAACATATTAAGGTGGAGGTCCCTGGAAGAGGATAATAGAGCACTGCTTGGGAACAGAGTAGCAGGAATGTGGGTCAGGTATTCAAGCAGATCAGGATGAAAAAACAGAATCTGGAGTCACCTGGAGAGAAGTAATCGGTGCAGTAATGAAAGTGAGTGAGAGCATCAGGCTTGCAGAGTGAAGGGGCGGACACGAGACCCTGAGTGCCACTGACATTTCTGAGCTGTCCAAGGAAGAGGAAGTAGGAAAGGTGCTCAGAAGAGATGCTCAGAGGAGAGGAGAGTCACGGAAGCCCCAGGTCAGGTGCTCAACAGTGTGTGTTTTTGCAGAACCGAAGAGTGACGATCCAGTTCCATTCAACCCCCTTTGCCGCGTCTGTGGGCTTAAAGAAAAAGCCTGAAAGCTGGTGTAAAATGATTCTGCTGTTTGTTTCATTTGCCACATGACTAAGCTGTCATTTGTCTCCCTTTGCAAAGAGAAAATCACAATTTTCTGTGATTTAAGTGTAGTCAGTCTTTAAAGGTACCTAAATGTGACACACTTCAGGAAGATGTATTCCTGGCTTAGACACTGAGGCAAAGTGTCAGAGTAAATCACTAAAAATTGAAGACATGATAGTCTGTGGGATGTGGCAAATTACTGCCACAGATACAAAGCGTATCACAAAGGAGGTTTTTCGAGAAGAAATGCAAGGACAGACTGATCCAGGAAATGGTCTTTTTGGAATTTGGTCTGTTGTCACTTTATGCCATGTGAGGATAGAATAGCAGTGCTGGGTTGCTGGCATAATTAGTGTCGGGATCAGGAAACTTGGAGCATTTGGCAGTATTTGAACATGTTTCTTTCTGTCTATGTAGAATTATAGTTCTCTGGCTACTGTCATCCACTAAGAACTTCTCTTTGTCAAGTACTGTGAAGAATGAATTTGAATTCTGCTTCTGTCCTCTGGAAGTTCATAACTGAAAACAGTATACAGTGCCACGAAATGGGGTAAAAATGACAATGAAAAGCCCAGATAATTCTTAGTTGTTTTTTTTTTCCTGACACCATCTCGAATTCATGTGAAGCTTCACACAGCTTTCATAATTAGCTGAAATTCTACCAGTGGTGTATTTGGCATCTGAAGGAAATGGATTGACCCTTTATCTGGGCTTGTGTTTTACATTTGTCTCTTTCTCTCTTTTAAAAAAAAAAAATGACTTCTCTGTTGAGTTGTTTTAGAAACGATTTTAATCTGTTTGGTTTTAAAGCAATTCTTTTCCATTGTATATAATTTAAATAAATAATTCCACGGTGTTTGAGCAGCTAGAGTAGACACATTTCATAAGGGTCTTTAAAAAATTCAAAATTAGTGGTTATTCAATGGTTAAAAATATAAATATACAAAGGAAGCTATTTGTACATTTTATTTAACTGTCAAAATTTATCGTGTTTCCGAGGAACAATTTTATATCATGCAAAGGGAAATTAGTTGTTTATATATTAAGAAAGTTTTCCTGAGCTTACTTTTTTAATGTTAAAAAAGTTAAGTATGGAGGTAGAGGAAGAATTTTATAAAGCAGTGATCTCCTTGAGCAGACCATAAATTCTCGTCAGTTCTGTAAATTTCCAAACCTTCCCGTTTAGATTTGGAAGAGTCATCTCCACGCTCAATAAATGCATAGAAGCATGGATGGTACTTTGATAATCTGTTTTCCTGTTTTCAGTTAGCTAATGCATGACTCAAAGTTGATTAAAAGGCAGGATTATATAAGATTTCTTCTTTTTTGTCTAAACTTTTCCTCCTGGCCTTGGAGGACCTCTCCCCATCCCCAGGCCAACGCAGCCTGCCCCTTGAACTCCGTGTGTCTGCCTCACAGTAACCACGTGCCAACCACGTGTGAGCCGCATGCTACCCACACTGCCGGCCGTCATTTCATAGAGCTGCCTAGGCTTCTTGAATTCTTGTCTTTTCTCAAACAGAACTATCTTCCTGAAATTATTTCCTTGCTTTACAAGGATAGCTTATATCTTACCTATTCTTTAAGGTCCCTTTCAAATCCCATCTTCCCAGCGTTTTTTTCTAGGCTCCTTCCGTTCCCCGAACAGTAACAGCTCTCACAGAAATGTATGTCTTCTTCTCCTAGGACATTTTCATCCTTTTTGGAAGAGTTATAAGCATGCTTCTCCTCCTTCTCAGACCAGCCATCTTTGAGAGCAGAAGCTCTGCTTTATCCTTCTGTGCCCACCCAGCTTGGTCTAGGCGTGGCCTACCCCTAGCCACGCCCACTGTAGGTGTTTTCCCTGTGAAGAGTAAGGATGCAGCGCCGCGGATGTGGGGCCTGTTCCGTGAGCCTCCTCTAATCCTGCCTAGCTACACATTGTCTATTTGCCAAAGCATCACAGGAAGCACAGTAGGTTAGGGCCAGATGGTGAGGGCCTTATAGATCAGGCTTGACTCAGTGGGCAGTGGAGAACTATTATTTTTCTACAGAACCTATTTGATGAACTAAACATCTGTAGTGAACTTTGTATCTCATGATGTACATGTGAAGAAACTGTTTAAGAAGGATCCATTTTGCAGTGACATTAAGGATGAGTGGGAGAGTGGTGAGCAGGCTGCTCTTGGTAATTAGAAGAGCAATGTCGTATTTTAGATGTTCTAACATTTGGAATAGACTTTGAGGTTTATGCTTTCTTATATTCAAAAGTATAAAAAGGCTTAAGAGAAGAAAGCTGGAAAACTAAAGCAGGAAAAATTGATATTCCAAAGAGTGAAAAATGAGATCATACTGAAGAGTGACAGAGTTTAGATCAAAAATATGAACATAAGAGATGTGGATAAAAGAAGAGTTTAGAGATGTAAGAATGGAAATGTGATTTATTTCTTTAAAACTTGAAATTAGCTAAAAGGGGTAGATTCTTCCATTGAAGGCTCAGGCTAAAAACCCAAGACTGGAAATGGTTTTGTTTCAGTGTTCTGTAATGTAATGACTGTACATATTCCTTTCTCTCACCTGACTAGTGGATCTCTTGGAGTTGAATACAACAAATGAAGTTTTCAACCAGCACAAGCTGAACCAGAACGATCAGCTCCTTAGTGTTCCAGATGTCATCAACTGTCTGACAACCACTTACGATGGCCTTGAACAAATGCATAAGAATCTGGTCAACGTTCCTCTCTGTGTGGATATGTGTCTCAACTGGCTGCTCAATGTATATGACACGTACGTTTCCTTTTTTTTTTCTCCTTGAAATATAATCATTGGGTGGAATATGTTGATAATGCAAAATGTCTAAATTTTTTAAGTGAATATTTAAGAAAATACTTTCAAAGTACTTTTCCTAGTGGAAATATTTATGTTACTTGTTGAAAAGGGATGACTTTCCAAAATTGAGCTTTTAACCAACAATAGAACAAAAAAGAATGTCTACCAGTTATTTTAAGATTTTGCTTCAATTTATAAAGCCTGTCAGATTTGTATTTTGTGACCTTGCTAGGGGAAACCTAATGGGAAAAAATCCGATTTGCTTCCTCCATAATCTTTTGTAGTATTTCTTTTATCAAAAGACAAAATTTTGTATATATTGTTATGAATTAAAATAATTTATTGGCTTATAATAATCTACTCTATTTTTTGTATGACAACTTAAGAGCAATTTGAATGGCAGTTAGAGATTTTATTTGTCTTTTGGTATTAGCTTTATTGATTGCAGTGGTGGTGATGTGTATATATGGCATTTTAAATAATTTACAGTACAGGACACCCCACTATCTGTAATTTAATTAAATGGTCACTGTTACATAAAGATCACTCTCAACTTCCAGCGTAACTCATTTGCCATTAATTTGTCTTTTTTGATGTGACAGTGCACTTGTGAAATAATCAGTTCTAGAAAGACATGCTGTGGGCTGACATTTCTGGAACATTAAGAATTACTCATTCTTCTGGTAGGGAGTGAAAGTGTGCAAAGATGAAGTGAGAAAATTAGAACTGTTGTTTTTCTCTCAGACTCTGAAAGTTATATTCCATTAATTAGCTATATGAAAAATTTGTGCTCATCAGGTTTTTATTTGTTTTCGAGGGAAAGAAGAATAGATGATAGTTCATAAATGCACACATGTTTAGCAGCTGATTGATTCTGTATAGGAAGTAAATGATGGTCACAAGACCTGTAGAGATGACTTAATTAAAATTTCATTTATTCTTTTGATTAGAAAAACCCTTTATCTTTTAATACTCACAAATATCTTAACAAAGTCCTTTTTTAATAATCAAATAGCCATTGTGTGCTTGAGAGCTCTTAAGAAACACTGAAGAGCAGATAGCCTGAATCTCAGTTACCATAATGAATGTGGGCTGTGCTATGTCTGATTTCTATTGATACATTACATTTTAATGCAAATTTTTACCCTCCTAAGGTAAAATATGACTGTTAGCATTAATTCACCATTAAGTTGATCTTCAATTTTTTAAACCTCTATGAGACATTTTCCATAGTAAATTCACCAAAATAGCTGATCAATTAGGTATTTTAACTACAAAGCCTATAACTTAATTTTATGTCCCAGGAAGAATGCTAAATTCATAGAACACTTAGTTAAGAACTTCATTAAGCACTATGGAGTATGATAGAGGTGCACATTTTGAGTCATATTTTAAGGAAGAACTGGAGAAGTTGTTAAATCACCCTTCTTTGGCATTATCTGTGCCTCCTACACAGTATATTAGCCGATGTGGGCTGCCATGAGACAGTACCATGTGGCTTAAACAGCGGAAATTTAATTCTCACAGTTCTAGAGACTAGAAGTCCAAAGTCAGGATGTCCACAGGGTTGGTTTCTTCTGAGGCCTTGCTCCTTGGCTGTCTTCTCCTTGTATCTTCACTTGGTCTTCTGTGTGTGTCTGTGTCCTAATGTCCTGTTCTACAAGAACACCAGGCATATTGGATTAGGGCCCACCCTGATGGCATCGTTTTAACTTAATTACCTATTTAAAGACCCTTTCTCAGTATACAGTTGGATTCTGAGGTTCTGGGAGTTAGGACTTCAACATACGGATTTCAGGTGGATATAATTCAGCCCATGACACATATGCTGTTTTCACTGGACGGCCCTCAGGGAATAGTGCCACTTAGCTGGGAAGGAAACAGTATGTGAAATGTTGTGATTCATATTCTAGGGAGTTACATGCTGGCATATTTTCACTCTCTAACATCAAATGTGAACACATGGGAAATGCTACACTGAGATACTGTTTCTTATTTAGAAAGACGGTATCTTGAAATTTTCCTTTTTAAAGGAAAAAAAAAGCTTTTAGGATTTATCCCCTACCATACCAGAGAAATATAGCAAAGACCATGCTGGGTAGAGTATTGTCAGTTCAGTTGAGTTTTCCATCTTGGAGAAGAATATCATGAATTAACCTAAGGAAAAATAGTACAAGAGTTATTAACTCTTTTCAAGTCATTAGTTTCCTTTGAGAATCTGATGGAACTGTGATCTACTCCATGCAATTCACCAATACATTATATACCCCTATGAAGTCTCTGAACCTTGGAAATGGTACCCATGATCTAACCCTTCCATTCATTCAGTTAACCTGATGTTCATCTAGAAACCATTTATTTTTTACTGCATTACTTTGTGTAGTATGTTGCAATCAGAACTGGTATTTTCAGCTCTTAAAGTATATTCACCTAGCTCTTGAAATAATGAGCGATGCACACATAGGAGATCATAGAATTCTGAAAGCAGAGGGACTTTGAGCAGCTTCCATTCTGTCCTCTTCATTTTACTGATCGAGAAACTGACCCAATAAGATAAGACAGTTTATCCACAGCCACCAACTACATATTAGCGGTAGATATGGGACTAATATTCATATTTTTGGATAATTACTTGATTATTCCCACCATATTACCATATCCAAGAAAAACAGTACTTTATAAATTACATTAAGATTATTTCTTTCAACATTTAACATGTACCTAACTCCTAATATTCTGAATTGTGTGGGGCAAAAAGCCTATTTTCTTCTTTTGCGGAGGACAAGGATCTAAATTTTTGGTCTGGTTGCTTTGCAACTTGGCATCCACTTAACTTTTGGCATCTCAATTTCTCATCTAAAAAATTGAGATAAAAAATATCTGCTCTGATTCCCATACAAAAGTAAGTGATCGTCAAAGGCAAATGAACTAATATATATATATATATATATATAGAAAGGACTTTATAAACCATAAAGATAAAATTGATTCCATTTATGAGTTCACAGCCTCACTCAGTCTTCATCTTCCCAGGTTAAAAAGTCTTAATTCCACAACCTTCCTTCTAAATTTAATAGAAATCAGAAGTGTTTAAATCAAGATTTAAAGCAATAGTCTAGATTACTTGCTTTAAACATTTTTGTCCTTGCAGAAAATATTAACCTCAATTGATACAATAGTAAGTCATTTTCCCCATTATTCCAAGATGGATATAATTTTATTTATAAGCTATGTATCTTTCTGGTTGAATTAATTTCAGGAATCACTTATGAAAATTATCAGGGAACCAAATACTTAAATATTGGGTTATGTCACTTATTAAGAAATTTCATTGCCTCCCTATTCTCATTCAGATTCTTATATCTTATTTAACATCAAAGCCCTCTATCATCTGGCTCCATATGGACAACTTTATCAACCATTTAGCCTTGATGCAAATCCTTGTTGTATCTGATGAATCTTGTCTCTGGTGCTCACACCCATTCGTTCCTCTGTCCCCTTGTCCAGGCTTTTCCTATGATAATCTATTTTCTTCTAGTTGGGACAATCCAGCCATGCCATGCCTTCAATGTCTGATTTTAGACTAACCTTCTTTATCAAATGAGATGAGACTAATAACTCAGACTAACCATCAATCATTATTGAGCAGTCAGCCACAGTTATCTCATACTTGATTATGTCCATGTGTAAAGGTCAGTCTCATATTTTGTTATGATTCTTTAGTTGTTTTCTTGTCTCACCTCTCCAGTGAGTCATGGGTAGAAATCGTGTCTCATGCTTTTCTGTTGGTCCCTATGGTACATAGAACAGTGCTGGGATCACAGTAAGCCTTCATAACTGTTGATGGTGCGATGAACGGATGATTGCCGTTTTCAGTAGTCTTCCTGGTGATGTTCCTTTCTTGTGTTATCACTGTAGACTGGAGGTCACCCTCCAGTACATACCAGTTTGATCTTTTTTTCCCTTAAGGGATTACTTTGTTATTAGCTACGTTCATGTACTAGTCCACTTGCATAGCCTTTTGTTATTTTCTGCAAGTCTGTTGTCTTAATTGTGTCCTGAGAATAAAATTCCCTGATTTTTAGAGGGAAAAAAACAGACATAGTCTATTTTCCTATAATAATTAGGAAATACCAAAGAAATGTGAGGTGAAAACACACTTCACAGCATGGCTCAGTTTAAGGTTAATTTGGAACTAATATTTATATAATTGTGAGGAACTGGGATGAGTATATAAACTTTAGATTTCTGCTTATAATGACCATATTTATTTTAAAATTTAAGCATTAGTTACTTCGTAGGTCAATTCTGAATATTGTATACATACATAGCAGGGGTTCAGTACGTTTGTTGGGTATGGTTTAATATAGACAATGAACTCTAGGCTATTGAGGGACTGTTTTGAAAATACATTTTACCAATCCCTAAGCATGTTTTATTTGTTTTACACTTAATATGTCATGGTATGTATAGAGAAATTTACTTGAGTATTTGCAATTTGAGAATACAAGATATCAATTGGTATTAATAATAAAAATATCAGTAAGAGGCAGATTTAAATATAGTTTGACAATGACTACTGAAAATTAAAGTTGCATCATACGAATATTTATATGCTTTTAAATAGCATGAATTATTAAATTTATTTTATTCTTCTAATTATATAAACATTTAATTATAGATTTTGAGTGTGTTGTATTTTGTATTGAAAACATGTCATAAGGAGATTAACAATTAAAACCAATATTGAAAACTGATCCAGTTTATATGAAATAATAAAGGTCACAGTAAAGGCTTTTTTCCTGGACTGTATGTTATTTCATAGCAAGGATCATGTTATTAATTTTTGTAGCTTCTGCATTTCCCTTTCCCCATCCCCAGGTACTAGTACAGTGTGACATTTGGAAAACAACCCAGTAATTCTTTGATAAAAGACAGAATAAAGAGAACTCCATGCTTTTAATGATAAAATAAAATTATTCTGCTGATCAACTCGTAAGTGAAATTGAAATGGTCTCTCATTGGCACATATGAAACTATTTCCTAGTGTTGATTAATTAAGACATTTTGTATTTAATTATAATTTGATACTTACCTGAATAAAGACTACACACCTGTATGTTTAAGGTCATTAACTATTATCATTGCAGTAGTAATTTATAGAAACTACGTTGACAGGAACCAAAATCAATGAACACAGTACGTTTTTAAGTATTCAGCAAGTTATGAGCCCTCAATATGTAATGAATTTTCCAGTCAGTTTTCTTACATTTCTTTTTAGATATATCATATGCCTTTCTTGTTCTGTTTTACATGCATATTATATATAGTTCTAGCGATCTATTTTGAATCTTGCATTTATAATTATTAACAGATAGGCTTTAATTCATGGTGTTTATAAAAATGAAATCTTTTTAGCTTTATAATTAGCATTTTCATTTACCTTCATTTGTCCTTTCTAGTTCACATGTTGTACGTAAAGTGACTTTCGGCTTTGTATTTTTCCAAACTAGGTCAAATATACTATTAAAATATGCCATGAGATTATGATATGGGTTTAACATTAATTAATAAAAGTAAATAGAAAAGTTGCATATTTAAGATGCAATTTTTAATGGTTTACCCTAGAAAATAGATGTTCAGAAATAATTAGCATACTGTAGACAGTTTTAAATGCATCTAACGCATCAAGATTCTTATAATTTCAGGGGTCGGACTGGAAAAATAAGAGTGCAGAGTCTGAAGATTGGATTGATCTCTCTTTCCAAAGGTCTCTTAGAAGAAAAATACAGATGTATGTAAGACCTTTCCTATACCAACAGTGTTTTTAGTAATAATAATAATAACAATTTATTAGAGACTTACCTTATATGATTTGCTAGTAATAATAGTTCTCTTACTTTTTAAACCCTGACTATACATGTACCAGGCTAGACAAAGTGTGTCAGTGCAAAGGAATGTGGATTTGTGTGAAATGAAAAGCAGATTTATAGGACCAAGAGGTGAGGTGCCTTGATGGAGTGAGAATCAACTATAGATTATATCTCATTTAATTCTTAGAATAATTGCCCTATAATGTAAGCCTTGTGATTTCCATTTTCCAGCTGAAAAAAATAATGCTTAGGGTAAGTTAAAATCTAGTCAAGGCTGCAAGACAGTAAATTGTGGGGCTAGAATTAGATCGTAGATATTTCTGACACTAAGGCTTAAGCCTTTTCTATTTCTGCACACTTCCAGTGCTTGAAAAAATAATTAAGATGGACTAGAACATTTATACTTTATACCTGAACCTGTGTACTTCCAGGCTAAAAAGGAAATCATGATAGACTAGGACTGCTGTAGTCACAGTGAGACAAATAACTATATTTTACAGTATGAGAAAATAAAACATGATAAAAATTTTTTTATTTTGTTACATTTGTTTTTATTCACAAAATGAATCAGTGGTGCCCTTTTAGCTGTCAGTTCATGAAGGGCATCTTGACCTTTACAAAGAGACAGGCTCAGGAGCCAGGGGAGACCTGCCTTCAACTCTTCGCTCTGCCGCTTTGTGCCTGGATAACTTCGGGCACGTTACATGATCCCACTGCATACCGACTGCTAAGGGGTAGTAATACTCCCATTTCACATTCCGGGAAGCTGAAATTTAGTGAAATTTTCTTCAAAAGAATAAAGCTAATTATTCTTGCTTTGAAAGCAACTAGGGATCATACATGAAAAGTACCTAGAAATAGTAGTCGTTGAATAAATGGTAGCAGTTGTTGCTATGTCTCTAAATTCTTAATTCTGCAAGTTTTTATAAATTTAGCTTTGTCCATAAAATGTGAGTACCTTGATCCTGCCATGCCTGGATATGGTTCCATATAGATATATCTATACCTTTGAGGGAGAGGGTGAGGGATATTTCATGAGTGGAGAGATGGACATCAAACAAGAGAATGTGTGATCACAGGTCCTGTAAGTTTAGTTAAGTCATGCATCTTCTGTGAATGTACGTACATTTTTTAAAACTTCTGCTTTCTGGGATGGCTGTGAGGTGATTTGATTTTGAATTCCAGGGCTAGGTCATTGTTTCTCTTACACAGTTTGACAAGAATGTCAGTGAGAAGAGATGGGGATTTGTATGAAACGAAAAGCTGATTGTAGAATCAGGAGATGAAGTGCCTTGATGGAGTCTAGTGAACCATGCAGAAAAAAGCTTTGCACGGGCTTTTGTTTGGTAGCACTTTATCCAGAATTTAAATCATCTTCAGCATCATAATTGTCAATAGATGTCATTTCCAAAGCTAAAAAAAAAATTATTTCTGTGATGAGCAGGAAAGGAAAATGTTAATAAAAGCATCAGTGTACCAAATGAGAAAAGGACTTTTTTTTTTTTTTGGATCGTTGGGATTTTTATGTGTTCCTGAAAGAATTAGGGTTCTCTGAAAGTAACAATTATGTCATGGTGCTGAGCTTACTCTGAAAAGAATGCAGATTCAACCTCAAAGAGTTTGTCATGAGTCTTAAAATGTAACAGTGATCTGTTTTCCTAGATCAATGATTCCTCCTCTCTTCCTTTTTCAAGCTGATTATCGAGTAATCTGAGGCCAAAAGAGAGTCAGAACATGGTGGCTGGAGTTTTAGAGCAAAACCCAAATTCTATGCAGTATATAAAAAAATGGCTTTTATCTACACACATACCCTCACACGTATTCCTAAAATGCATAATCTTTCCAATGAGAGCATTAAGCATACGTGTACTCATACACTTGTACTACAGTGGGTACACCTCCTGCAAATGTCAGGAAACTTTACTGCTCTGTGCAATTCAACATTGAACTGTCAGACTACGGCAGGGGAAGCAGAAGCCCCTCAATGAAGATTTCGGATATTTAACTTGATCCATGAAGTATGCCATTTAGGACTGAATTAAATGAAAAATCTTTTAGGTTGAAATCTTTAAATCTTACCTAAGAGTATTGAGACTCTGGAAATGTTCTGGAGTTTTGTTTTGTTTTTTTACTTCAAGGTCCTTGGCAACTCTGATTCCAGTTTTGATTCCCCCAGTGATATCAGAATACTTCCTCATTATTATTTCCTTTGTTAGAATTAATATTCGAGACAATTTGCTCTCCAAACTCAATGGCAGAGGTGCTATTCTGGGTCAATTGGCATCTGTCGGAACATTGATTTTTCAATGGCTAATGTCCCTGTCTTTACCCTGGTGACACCTCCTTCTCTCTGCGTGCCTTCCTGAGAATGTCCTTTGATTAAGTTCTGATAACACCCTGGCCTTCCTGCTTATAGCTCAGTGGCTTCCTTGCCTCATCAAAAACACATTTACCGAGATCCTTTTGAATGGCCTTTGCAGCTCTTCTGTGCTGATTTATTGGACCTTGGGCTTTAGACTGTGACTTTCCTCTGACCCATCCTCACATCCTGACGCTCCTTTCTGTATCTGACTGTAGCATCAGAATGTGAATATTTGTAAGAATTCAGAAATATGTCAAAATTTTTAGGACTCTTTCCTCTTATGCTTTGTGTGTAGTTTTACCTTGGTAATGGCATGGTAGTATAGCTAACTGCCTCAGAAGAGGCAAGTTGGGCAATGATTTATCTCATGGAAAATGTGAACTTCTCTGCAGATTATTATACATATGCATCAACTCTGTATTCACTTAGGAGGCCTCCTCCCAGGAATGGGTTTACAATGAACAGTGTAATATAAATAGTTTCTGCCTGTGAGAGTCTTATTTTTAACAAATGAAAAGAAACGAGTAGAACTCTAACCAAATCTATGTGAACAAATGACAATAAAAATTAATTTTATCTTAATTGAATTTGCTTTCCCTATGTATGCTTATAATTAAAGTCATATTTCATTATAATTACTATGCCCATTACACTGAACTTGATTTAGTTGTTTGAAAATCCACCGTTGACAGTATTAGATGTAGCCTTATTCCCTTTTAAAAAAAAGTGGGGGGGATGATACAGTTTGGTCCGAAATTCATTTATCGGGTATTGTTTAAAATTTTTAGGATTCAGTGTTCTCTCCTTTCTTATGTTGTTAGAAAACTTCACATGAAAACCATTCAGAATTTGTATGATTTTGAATTTTTAGAACTTAGAAATTTCTTTTCAAAAGGCGTTAGTTTCTATAATGAAGTGGATTGTTTTTGCCTGAAATTTCTCCCTGGTCCAAAAATAACTTAGTTAAATATATTAGCTTTATGGCTGGAAATACGGTAGTAATTTTAACCTTCAAAATACTGCAAGTGGTGAACAGAAGATAAAATGGATAAAAGAGCATGAGTTTTTGTTAAGAAGTCCTTTAAATTCAAATAAATGTATTTCATTACATGAAATGAAGTAAAACAAAAACAATTTTTATAGCTAAGAACGAACAAGAGACTGATTGGGCCTAAAAAAATAACCCTTATAAATAAAAGACACCTCCTTCTACTGTTTAATGTTTCTTATGTAAAACAGATTTGAGTATAGAAATCTAGAAAAGAAATAAAAATATATATGTTTAATAGAATATTTAATTTAGGAGCGAATACAAAAAGTTGGTAAACAAATCTTTTAAAATTTAAAGATTTGTTCCTTAAGATCTGTTCGTTCCTTTGACAAGTTGTAAAGAGAGCTTTGTTTGGCCCACTCATTTTCAATAAGAAGGGAGACCATACTGCGACCACTGAATGAACCCACATGCATGCACTGTACCACTTAAAAAGGAAATTTGTATTTATTGATCTGTTTCTATGTATTGACATACAAGAGTAGATTGTTTTAGGAAACATGTGGTTAACCAGTTCCTGATTACAAACATGCAGAACATTAAGGTTATCAGGATTCAGGAGACAGCTAATGTGATTCACGTCCATCTTTTTCTTTTTTAATCTGTATCGTTCCTTTCACGTAACCAAAGGCATAGTTTACTTAAAAGAACAGTATAGGCGGATGGAAGTTAACCTCTTGCCTCTCTCCCTTGTAGATCTCTTTAAGGAAGTGGCGGGGCCCACAGAAATGTGTGACCAAAGGCAGCTTGGCCTGTTGCTTCACGATGCCATCCAGATCCCTCGGCAGCTGGGGGAAGTAGCAGCTTTTGGGGGCAGTAATATTGAACCCAGTGTTCGCAGCTGCTTCCAACAGGTAAACATGGAGCATCGCTGGTATGTAGAATGTGTGGGGATGGCATTGAGGATGTTCTGAGAAATGGAACAAAGGACTTGGGCTGGAACCAGGCGGTAGAAGACGTTGGGTACCATCCCAGTAACTTTGTATTTTAGTTTTTGAGGCACATTTGATTCAAGGAGCAGCAGCTCCCTTGAGGAGACTTACTGTTTCTCAATGGATAAAACCCCACATCTTTAACATGTGCCATTAGATTCCTGTGATTTGACCCTGCCATTGCCCTGGCCTCATCTTAGACCACTTGTCCCCTTGCTCTCTGCTCTCAGGCTGTGCTGTTTTAGTCCTTTCATTCCTGTCCTAGCGCCTTTGGAACGTGCCCTCTGTTTAGAATATTCTTCTCACAAACTCCCTTTCGTTGCTGATCCTTATTCATTCTTAAGATTTTCTCTTAATTCTCACATCCTCTGAAAGTCCTTCTCTGACCCCTTCAGATGGCGTTATGTGTCCCACTGTATTCACTGAGTCTCTTCTGCCTTCTTATGGTGCTCATTACAATTATAGTTACATACTGAATTATATAATTACTTGGTGAGTGGTTTTTTAATTTATAAACCTAAGCTCCATGAGCAGGGACTGTTTCTTTTTACTGTTATATCCTTGTGTACAGTGCCTTGAACATCATAGCTACTTAACAGATATTTGCTAAATAAATGAATAAAAATGCCCTGAGCTCCTTATAGGTAAGACCTTTTAATGTAAATTAGACATAATGAAAATTGCAGTCTTTTCCTTGAGAACATATGTACAAAAGGAGAAAAGGAGAATGACGTACAAAGTTATGTACTGATCTAAGTTACTGATGTTAAACTGGAAAAGCACTTGAGTTCCTTTTTGATGCTTACTGTATAGAAAAGCATTTTTAGAAATGTTACTATTTACACTATACAAATACATGAAGTACAAGCCTACAGATGTTTTGCTAAGGCATATGCAGTGATTTATCACTGCTGAGCAAAAAAAAAAATGCTCATAGCATCTCTTTAAAGAGAATTGGTGTTATGGGTTATTACATTTTATAATAAATAACCTTTTTCTTGTTTTAGAGATACAAAAAAATACCAAATGAAAATTCTAAATATGATTCTCATATGTGTTGGTTCATAGAGTGACCTTGACGACAGCAGAAGGATGTTGGTAACTTTGCACATGTGAAAATTATGTAGTATTATAATATAAAGAGAAGTCAAGATGTTTCATACAATTTATCATGATAGACTTGGAAATCCTGCAGAGTACATTTATAGAAATGTAAGCAAGACTGGAGCAGGACACAGAAATAAAGGTTTTATTTAGCATTTACAATGGCCTTCAAGTTTGGCAAGTTATCAGGGAGTCTTAACTCTCACAGTTTTGTTGTTGTTGTTGTTGGTTTTTTTTTAATGGAGGTGCTGGGAATTGAACCTCAGACCTTGTGCATGCTAAGCATGCGCTCTGCCACTGAGCCATCCCCCCAGCCCCACTACTGTTGCAAATGTTTACTATCTTAGATGAATGTATTTTATAGGATTAAAGTATTTGTGTGACGAGTACCTAGAATTGTGTGGGTTTCATTTTTGTTTTTTTTAAATTTGAGTCTATTAAGCTATTGGAATTTGTTTCTTCCTCCTATATAACTATTTCTGCTTTTTCTCTCTTTAAATTCTAGAATTTTTTTTCCTTTGAAGAACCTTAAATATTTTGTGGTTTAACTGACCTAGAAAGAGTTACATAACTTTCCTTTTACTTCTGTACAAATTTTCAGAAGATTTTGAAGCAATGAGCACTTGCTGCAATTTAAATGAAGACATTTTCTTCCCTTTTAACATGTTTATTTCTTCACCAGAATAACAACAAGCCAGAGATAAGTGTGAAGGAGTTTATAGATTGGATGCGTCTGGAACCACAGTCCATGGTTTGGTTGCCAGTTCTACATCGAGTGGCAGCAGCTGAGACTGCAAAACATCAGGCCAAATGCAACATCTGTAAGGAATGTCCAATTGTTGGATTCAGGTAGGATGATCTACTGTTCGTGATGGCAAGAGATGATCTTCTGTTTGTTTAATTTCGGTGTATGTCCATCATTCCTTCCTGTTTACTCCCATTTGTGTTTTTCCGTCCTAAAGAAACGGGATACACAGCACATCCTTCCGACAGCCCTCTGATACAGGAAACTTGCTTTATTATTACTGTTATATATACTGTTTTGCTCCAGAGCCAGAAATCTTTCTGAATTTCTATTTCCATACAGAAATATCCATGCATAACAATTGTATGACTCATTATACATGTATGACCCTGATGGAATTTGGCATTTGGAGGTCGAGCTTCCTAAGCAGGAAGTAGTAATTGAATATTAACTAACAAGTAAACTAATTACTTTGTGTTACTTCTGCCAAGTTTTGTGTGAAATAGGTTAACCCTACTTTCACGCAAGGAGTAAAATTTGTCAGGGAATTTTGAGACTCATTTTTTATTGATGATGTAAGTGACATTTTAAATTTTGATGTGTCAGGCTAATAAGCATGAATCTCTTTTCTTCTCTGCCATTTTGCATTCTCATTCAAACATTATAAAACATCTTACAACTTGACTGTTTTTCTTCTCATTTGTTAAAACAGATGAAAACGAGTTTCAGAGACTTCAACTCCAAAAATTTGATTTTTTTTTTTCACTTAGGAGGTGATATCCCTAATTTTCTTTGTGAAAGTTAAGGTGCTCTTTGCCCTAGTTTGGAGCTAAAATGCTAAGCAAATTCCACATTTATGGCCAATCTAACTTTTATTTTTATGGTTATTTGAATAAATGAAATTCCTTACCACAGATGACTGATTTGGACTAAATAATAGGCATTCAGGCCAATGAATTTTCTTTTCTTTTATCTAGGTATCGAAGCCTAAAGCATTTTAACTATGACGTCTGCCAGAGTTGCTTTTTTTCGGGTCGAACAGCAAAGGGTCACAAATTGCATTACCCAATGGTTGAATATTGTATACCTGTGAGTACTGATCCACTGTTTATTTATTTATTTATTTTTAATATGTTGCTTTTGAATTAATTAACATGTAAGATTATTTGATTTATTTAGACTTAACTTTATCTGGAAAAAGATCCCTTTCAAGATTGCTTAACCATATATTTTTTGTTGTTTTGTTTTCTTTTAAGCAAATACATCAGTGTTGAAATTTATTAGCACAGGAATTATATTTTTTTTGGAAAAATTAACTAATTAAATTTTATTTACATCTGTGTTTTGATTTTAAACTCAGCTTTCTCCGTAGCACACTCTTTTATGAGCTCACACTGACCTACCTTGAAACTGATACTATGCCATAAGAAATTATGTTTCTTTGAGACATATTTATAGTTTTCATGTACATTTTCATAGTTAAATATTGTATTTACAGTGACAAAAACATAGAAAATTGGAGGAAGTAAAAAATTCATAAATCTAGCTCCTGAATAAACTACCTTGCGATATTCTTCCATATCTCTGATTTTGTTGAGATCTTGTTTATTTTTATATTTCTGGAATTTTGATCCTGCTCTTTTGCACTGAACATGTCATATATAAGTATTCCCCCATGTTGTCACACAGTATAACCTTTCCTAGTTACAGAATATTTAACTGAGTGAATTACTATAATTTATCTAACCATTCCCTTAAATTTGGACATTTGGTTTATTTTCAATTTTCTGATATTATAAGCAAAACTTTTATATATGTCTTTGTATATTTATAAATATACATTTATATTAAATGTATGTGAATATTTATAAATATAGCTCTTTCCTTATATTGCATAAATTGCCATAGAATATAGCACTAAAAATAGATGACCTGGGTCAATTGCCAAAATACCTCATGTCAAGGTATTTTTCTTAAAGAGAGGTTTATACCACTTTACATCATTATCTCTTTTGGTTAATGTCTGATTTTACTGTAGCCTCACTAGTATCGGTTACTGACTCCTGTTGTTCCTTTGGTCTACATCTCTTTTTCTTCTTCCAGTTTTATTGAGGTACAGTTGGCATACGGCACTGTACAAGTTTGAGTTGTACAGATATATGTCTCTTTTTTTTCTTCATTTTCCGTCAATGGCTATTTTTTTAGCTTCTTTCCAAATAGTGAACCAAAGTTTATTCATAGAGCTGTACATTTTCTTTGGTTTCAAGAACTGAGTT